TGGTTGTTGTTCGGTTCCAAAATCACTTTATTAGGTACCGCTCAAAAACAACAACCTAGTTTATGATATTTGCAACAATGAATAATATAGAAGCAAAGGGCGCCTCTCCCGTCAAAATAAACGTCAAAACCTGACGCCATCTATTGACCGTCGCCGCAACTAGCGGCCTCGGGTCGGTTTCCTTATTTCTCACTCACCACATTATTATCACTATGGTGCCACATTGAAAGTCGACAGGATCATATCACACACATATATATATATATATGTCAATATACAGAACATCAACTCTTTTCAAGTCAAGAGAGCAAATCGTTTTCGAATTGAAAAAATAATATTATTAGGTAAATCAGGGAATATATAGGATGGATGACATGAAATATTCTTGATAAAAATGTTGTCAATACCGAACATAAGTAGGAAATAGGTACCGGGTTCCAATGCCATTCTCTTCCTTTTTTTTATTATCTCTAGTACACGTGATAAAGACCATGATAATCATGGTGGGTAGTTAGCCACTGCTTTAAATGTAAGTGTATTACATATCAAGACATTCGACTTTTGAAATTACAAGGGTGCTAGACCGCCGGTTGATTACTTGCACACACCGGTTAGGTTTTAACAAGAATTAAGAGAAATTGAAGCAATTTTTTTTTAGAAAAAAAGATTCATCCTTACTTTTACATTTTGAAAAAAATCAATAAGGAATTTAGGTTTTGGTTTCTTTTTACAATTTTTTATTTCTCGGTCTTTCGGGTTAACATGCTCTTCAACACGGAGACCTAGTATTACTTATAGAAGTTCAGAAACCTAACAGAAGAATCTTAAATCACTTTTCTATAATTCTCTAGAATCCATAAAAGAAAATTCACTCAGGTTTCAACGCTCCGAGACCTCAGAAACCTAACAGAGGACTCTTAAATCACTTTTCTATAATTCTCTAGTATCCCGAAAAAGAATCTTCACTCAGGTTTCAACGCTCCGAGACCTAAGAAACCTAACAGAGAAATCTTGAATCGATTTTCTATAATTCTCTAGTATCCCGAAAAAGAATCTTCACTCAGGTTTCAACGTTCCGAGACCTCAGAAACCTAACAGAGCAATCTTAAATCACTTTTCTATAATTCTCTAGTATCCCGAAAAAGAATCTTCACTCAGGTTTCAATGCTCCGAGACCTCAGAAACCTAACAGAGGAATCTTGAATCACTTTTCTATAATTCTCTGGTATTCCGAAAAAGAATCTTCACTCAGGTTTCAACGCTCCGAGACCTCAGAACCCTAACAGAGGAATCTTAAATCACTTTTCTATAATTCTCTAGTATCCCGAAAAAATATTCTCTCAGGTTTCAACGCTCCGAGACCTCAGAAACCTAACAGAGGAATCTTAAATCACTTTTCTATAATTCTCTAGTATCCCGAAGAAGAATCTTCAATCAGGTTTCAACGCTCCGAGACCTCAGAAACCTAACAGAGGAATCTTGAATCACTTTTCTATAATTCTCTGGTAACCCGAAAAAGAATCTTCACTCAGGTTTCAACGTTCCGAGACCTCAGAAACCTAACAGAGGAATCTTGAATCACTTTTCTATAATTCTCTAGAATCCTGAAAAAAAATCTTCCCTCAGGTTTCGAAGTTCAGAATCACATCATTACATTAATAGCGAAATCTTCCATTTTTTACTTTTCTATAATTATCTAGAATCCCTAAAAGAAAAATTCACTCAGGATTCAACGCTCTGAGACTTCAAATGTCAATAGAAGATTCCAACATTATCCACTTTCCTAAAATCTCTGTGTTGAAGGGCATGTAAGGCCGAAGGCTTGAGAAACAAAAAAAAAAGTAAAAATACACCAATCCCAAGATTCCTTAATGATTGTGTCAATAATAATAATAATAATAATAAAACGCTCAAATGCGGGATTTGATCCCGAGGAATGGTTACCGATAATCAAGGGTATATACCACCCCCTTCCCCCAACCCACATGAAGGTTCATAGTAGTGATAAGCTAGATAAGATTTCACATAGTTAAGGGGTGCTGATCCCGAGGAATGGTTACCAATAATCAAGGGTTTATACCACCCCCTTCCCCAAACCCCCCAAATGAGGGTTTATAGTAGTGATAAGCTAGATAAGATTCCACATAGTTAAGGGGTGCTGATCCCGAGGAATGGTTACCAATAATCAAGGTTTTATACCACCTCTTCCCCCAACCCACATGAGGGTTTATAGTAGTGATAAGCTAGATAAGATTTCACATAGTTAAGGAGTGCTGATCCCGAGGAATGGTTACCAATAATCAAGGGTTTATACCACCCCCTTCCTCCAACCCACATGAGGGTTTATAGTAGTGATAAGCTAGATAAGATTTCACATAGTTAAGGGGTGCTGATCCCGAGGAATGGTTACCGATAATCAAGGGTTTATACCACCCCCTTCCTCCAACCCACATGAGGGTTTATAGTAGTGATAAGCTAGATAAGATTTCACATAGTTAAGGGGTGCTGATCCCGAGGAATGGTTACCGAAAATCAAGGGTTTATACCACCCCTTCCCCCAACCCACATGAGGGTTTATAGTAGTGATAAGCTAGATAAGATTTCACATAGTTAAGGAGTGCTGATTCCGAGGAATGGTTACCGAAAATCAAGGGTTTATACCACCCCTTCCCCAAACCCCCCACATGAAGGTTTATAGTAGCGATTAGCTAGATAAGATTTCACACAGTTCCACAAGGGGTGCAGGGGAGTAAAGCCAAGGTAGTGAAGCTAAGTGCAGGAATCATACCTTACTTGACGGCGGCGCCTGACTATACCACAGTAAGAGCTCTTCCATGTCCTGTGGCAGGCATGCACACACACGCAGGAGCATGTTAGCGCATGCAGGGGCACATGACATCGCATGATGCTCGACATTCTGGGATCCCGCTAAGATTCTTCATTCAAATCCATCGAGATATCATTGAATCAACAGAGTAATCTTCCATTACATTCCTATTATCCTCTAGTATCCCGAAAAATAATCTTCACTCAGGTTTCAACGTTCCGAAAAACAGAAAACTAATAAAGGAATCGTCCACAAATTTCTTATCTATTTACATAGAATCCCATAAAGAATATGTAAATAAGATTCAATGCCCGAGACATCAGAACACCAACAGAAAATTCCTACAACAAATGAAAACATCAAGACGCGAACTTTTCACAAATAAATCAAACTTCTACTATCCTTACTGCAATGAAAAAATATTGGGAAGGCTTGGCTCATCAATGGTGAACCCTCCCAGCGGTTTCGCCAATTTAATCTACCACCATTTTTCAAATTCTCTAGAATCCCACAAAAAATAATTTACGTTCAGCATTAAATGCTCCAGCATATCAGAACACTAATAGAGGAATCTTCCGCCACTTTCCTAACTCTATAGAGATTTCTACAAATCTTCTTTAAATATGATTCAATGCCCAAGACATCAGAACACACACCAACAAAAGATTCTCCACACATTCATTCTTTCTAAATCCTCTAGGTTCCCACAAAGAATCTTCACTTGGGATTCAAAGTCCCGAGAATAGCAACAGAAGAACATTCCACACATATCTAATGCTTTAGAATCCATCATAAATAATCTTGAAATCAGATTTCTTTTTCAAAATATCATTTTAGACATTACATATGATTTACATAGATTGAACAAATATAATGAGAGATTACCCATAACTTTCCATTCATAAATATTATTGTAATTTCCCTCAATGTTTGCAGTATATTTTCTTGCAAATCATTCCAAGACCTGATACCACTGCACAGACTATTTATTGAGATGAGAAAGAAGATGCCAATATGCCCAATATGTAACTAAGGCTACCAGTCGTGATAATTAGAGCTAATTTCTAGAATGCATCATTGCGTATCATGATAAGCATAGAAGAAAAAAGTGAAGACAGATCGATACAAGCATGGGAGTTGAAGAAAAGGAATAAAAAAGGGAAACATTAAGCCACAAACATGTATACATGATGCGAATCTTAGAGTGTGGCAGTGTTAGTTATAGGGGAAAAATGTCAGGCAAGTTGTGTTTCACATTATAAAAATGCATTTTACATGTGAGGTGTTATTGGTATGTATTATTTAGGAGGTGCACATAGCTTTCCACATGCTGGTATCTTCCACAGCACAGAATTTGGATTTCAGATCGAGTCAATATAAGATATCTTAATGAAATGTTTTTGTTGATTATGTGGGAATGTCTTAATTATAAAGGTTTCACATTATAGTGTGAAGATCACACAATGTTTACACATTTAAACTTCGATTTTAAAAAAATGAATGAATATAAGATGTCTCTATAAAAAGCTTTTGTCGATTATGTAGGAGAGATAGAGAATTTCTTAATTATAGGTTTTACATTAATAGTGTGAAGATCACACATCGTTTACATATTGAAACCTTTGTTGGATGTTACTTTCTGTTTCATCACTGTACTATAAAAGAGCGATGTAAAACATAGAAACTCTTGGAACTCCAAAACATAGATACCAATGGTTTCTCTTTGAGGTGGTCTCTGAATGTAGGTCAAACCAGTGTTCAACGAAGGTAGACGCTCAAGGAGGTAATCGATCCATAGATGAGTCGCTGATGGGAGGTGTGGCGGACCTTACCTTGACGTAGGTACGCTCGGTGTCCACCAGCTCCATGATGACCTTCCGCAGATGTTCTGCATCTGTCAACTGTCGCATTGTCACGGAGGATCCTGCCGTGGACTCGGTGAGACTGGCGCGACGTCCGGGCATGCGGCAGTATTGCGTCAGCTGTTCCGCACTCTGCACGCACATCCAACATCTCTTCAGACATCAATTCTCCATCAATCCTGGAGTAAACAGATCATGTGTGACCTACAGTGTTCCCAACATATAGGATCATCTGTTCCGCACTCTTCGCGCACATCCAAGTTTATTCCGGAACATTTCTTCAGGCATCAACCCTGGAGTAAACAGATCATGGCCTACAGCACCTAAGTAGTCTCCCTCCCAAGTACTGATCAGGCCCGACGTTGCTTAACTTCAGTATCGAACGAGAACTGGTGTTTTCAACGTACCGTAGACTAAATATATAGTTATAAGTTATAATTCTAGGTGCTCCTGTTGAAGAAGGGGGGACATATGTTAGAGCCCGAAAGCTAGAGAAACAAAAATAGAACAAGAAACTTAACACTGAATTGTTTGTTGATATTATTAAATGATAAGTCAGCGAATGAACGTTTATAATATATCGTTAAATTTGTGTGAAAACGGACATTTCGGCAAAAAAAGGAGCTTATTTTTCATTGACTTTATATAACTATTTTGTCTTCAGGATGAAAAAAAAAACACAAATATTCGTTTTAAACCACCTTCCATGATATTATGTATCCAACACTCATAAGAAACAGAATTTTTTGATGTTTTGTTTCTGAATAACTGTTGATAGGCTAGTAGTGAACAAGCAAGTTGAAGTAGAATTAAGTTATTCTTATTGCTATTCCTATGTCAAATAAACCATATAGTCAATATACACAACGAATGGAAATACTTTCGTCACTCTTCATATGATTTTATTTAAAAAATAGAAAATTCTTTCCATCATCAGGGAGAATGTTTGCCGAAGAGCATTGTTCGATGCAAATATTTATATATATATTTTTTATATGAGATAGAACTCATTTTATCCTTTATATTTTAAGATATTTTACATATTTGATTGCATTTTTACAATAATTTTTTCACGCACAAATTTCTCCCACCTACTCTGTATTTTAATTGATTTCAACTGTGATATTATAACACTATGCGGCGCTGAGTTTATGTATACAAAAATGTAATGCCTCGATAAAGGTTGGCGTTCAGCCAGCCGAAATATTGGCAAAATAAATATTTTATTAAATCCAATATATGCCTTTTATTATCTACATACTTATATGTAATTCTACTGTCCTAAAAGCTTATGTCCATAGTTTTCTTAAATACCATTTTTAAGATTCCACTCTTCAGTGTAGCATATAAAATCAGAATGATCCAATACAGTATTAGAGCTCTAAGAAGCCGTCTGGTAGATTAAATTAGCGAAACTGCTGGGATGGTTCACCACTGATGAGACAAGCCTTCCCAATATTTTTTTCATCGCAGTAAGGATAGTAGAAGTTTGATTTATTTGTGAAAAGAAACATTCGTGTTCTTAATGTTTTCAAATTGAAAAGTATTTTAAAAAAACGTTCATTTAGATGTAAAATATTCTTTAAAAAAACATACGTAGATAAGAACTGAGATCTCGGAATCTATGATAAAGAAAGTTGGTGAACGAGTGGGTAAAAACCTCGATTCCCGACAACCATGAACAGGGATTGAATCCCGAATTGAACACTTTGTTTTAATAAGTGAATAACCTTCACACATTACGTTCATTAATCGTTCATGGATGGCTTTTCTTAATTTATCAAGAAATTGGGTTGGCCAAAATATCACGGAGCAAGTTAAATAAACGTTAGTTTATTTTTGCTCCACTAGATGGCGCTCTGCTATCTAAAAAAGCACATGTGCTTATGGTCAGGATATGCTTTTTTTATTTTTAATATTAATCATTGTTTCAAATATCATTAGCTAGGTTTCTCTTTTTGAGCGGTACCTAGTAAATTTATTTTGGAATAAGATTTCGGAATGTTAAGTGAAAAGTAGTGCATGGGGGAACTTCCAAAAATAATTTTGAAAAATAAATCTCCAAAGATGGTCAATCAATAAATCCATTCAAGATTCAACTGGACTTCTTCATTTTTTTTCTTTTTTTTTTTTCTTAGAGAAATATTGAAGAGGGACTCGGCGGCAGGCTATTACGCTAATGGTTCAAACAGCTGTATTTCTTTTTTTAATTCAACAACCGTCTGTTTTTTACCTGCAAGGACTTTCCTTTCTTGTCCAGTTTTCTGGACTTTTAGAGATTAGAGGATCATAAATTCTGATGTATATTTGAAATTAAAACAACAATATTGTGGCGAAGAAATATTTTATTATTTAATTTAATATTATTCAATGAAAATATATTCAACAGATTATAAAAATATATATTAATCTGTTTTTGTGAAATCATCTTAAAATATTTCTTTGCTTACTTGCTTAAGATTCTCTAGCGGTAAATAGTTTTAGGGTTGACCTGTTAATAATTGTCGACTTGTCGCTGTGACATCACCAATAAATACTTTTACATCTTAGGATATTTCAAGGCTTGATTTCTACGCTACAACTGGTGGAGAAGCTGGACCGATACCCATTAAGAAATAAAAGAAAAATTGATTCTGTTGAATCAGACGAAACTTCTATGAATGTAAAGACGGAAGCAGGTACCCAGGTAAGCAACTACGTTGTTCAACATCTGCCAAGGAACCCTTCCATTTTCTCCGGGGAGGATGGTGAAGATCTCCAAAAATGGTTAAAAGGGTATGCACGTGTGGCAAAGTACAACCATTGGGACGAAACCCTTTGTCTTACTAAAGTTTATTTTTATCTGTCTGGAACTGCTCTCAAATGGTTTGAGAACAACGAAGAAAGCATCCAGACTTGGAAGGAATTCACATCTCAATTAGAGAATGTGTTCGAAAAAAAAGAAAATTCAAAATTGCAAGCGGAGAAGAAACTTAAAACACGGGCACAATTAAAAGGTGAAAGTACCGAATTTTACATCCAGGATGTCCTGTGCTTGTGCAAAGAGGCTGATCTTCAAATGAGCGAGGAAGATAAAATCTCGCACCTCATGAAGGGGATAGCTGAGGAGCTTTATCAAGCACTCCTACCGAGGGATGTACAGAGCACCGAGCAATTCATTACAGAATGTCGCCGTGTCGAAGAGCTCCGTTGTAGGCGAGTTACCCCAACCAAGTACGAGCGTCTACCAAATGTAGCCTCTCTCTGTGACCAGGATGACGGAGAAGATCTGTCATCGCTGATCCGAAAAATTGTTCGTGAAGAGATAAAGCAAGCATTGGACTCTCCTCAAGAGGAGCCTAAAATCGCTGTCATTGAAGATTTAGTGAGGGAAGCGATTGTAAAGACCTTGGCACCTAAATCAAAACCTACAATAAGTCCCCCTCAAGCAACCAGGCCGGAACCAAATACTAGATACGAGGCCCAAACGATACGACCGCATCCTGAACCTCATTACCGAAAGCAAGGAAGAAGATGTGACACCAATGAATGGCGGACAACTGAGGGAAAGCCAATCTGTTTCTACTGCGGACGCCCAGGTCACGTCGTCCGCTATTGCCGCGACAGGAAGAGACACAATGAGGAGAGGAGAAATTAATATTTCCGAAGAAAGCAAGACGCAAAGGAATTCTACAACTCTCAAACCGAATTTCAGGAACCCAACGATGAATCATCGAGGAAAAATTTCAGTCGCCACCGAAGCCCTACCCCATATACCGGTCGAAACAGACAAAATTTCTCACCTGCTAGAAGATCTAGCTGGTCGCCCCGCCATGAAAATTAGATGATAGACCATATTGGAGGTGAGGCCGCAAAGTTAAGAAATCCTACCTTGCCGACCACATTATAAATAAGAAAAAACTACATTGACGTAAATATAGACCTGCCAAGCCCTCAGGAAGAAGTTATCTCAACTGAACGAAGACATCCCCACTGAACGAACACAACAACCACAGACCCGCGAAGAGATCTCAGGCCCTATCACCCGTTCTCGAGCCTTGAGACTGAGGATGTAAGTCTCCTTCTGAGCATCGGGTCGACGCTCTTTATAGGAGGAGGCTATGTGGCGAAGAAATATTTTATTATTTAATTTAATATTATTCAATGAAAATATATTCAACAGATTATAAAAATATATATTAATCTGTTTTTGTGAAATCATCTTAAAATATTTCTTTGCTTACTTGCTTAAGATTCTCTAGCGGTAAATAGTTTTAGGGCTGACCTGTTAATAATTGTCGACTTGTCGCTGTGACGTCATCAATAAATACTTTTACATCTTAGGATATTTCAAGGCTTGATTTCTACGGTACAATATATATATATAATATAAAAAAGAGAGATTTCAGTTGATTTTGGGATATTTTGAAATAAACAGAATTATTAGCTGTTGCTTGATTTTGGTATCCCTGAGTATTTTACGATATTGTTTTGCAGTCATGGAAATATTAAAATAAATAGTTTGATAAAAGTACTGCCTGGCTTAAAGCGTAAGCATAAAAAAAATGAAAAACTTATTTACATAATGTACAAAAGGTTTGAGCCGGCCATCGAGAAACAACAACAATGAGTTTTTATAGGGGAAGCGTGATCTCTGGCGGTCTAACAGAGTTTTTTATCTATGAAATACAATTTTAAATGAAAGAATATTTTTATATAACATATATATATATAATACAATGTGAAAAAAATAGTACAAATGTAATATTGTACTGGGATAAGATGCATAAGGCGCAAGCCATCAGCAACTTTCAGTTGCTCGATAAGAAGAAGCCTTTTTCTTAATTTATGCACCTTATCCCAGTACAATATTACATTTGTACTATTTTTTCACATTGTGTAGCGTTCTCACGCAATTCTGGCCTTAACTACCCGTTCCATGATTTTTCAGGATGTCTTAATGACCAATTTTTTGGTCGTTGAGGTACAGCTTGCACCACGCTGATGAGGACCAACAGCCCGAAACGCGTCCGTGGTTAGCTTTTCTTGATTAATCAAGAATGGGTATTTGGCCAATTCTGGAATAATTAAAAATCAACGAGAATAGTTGATATTTATTCCGATAGATGGCGCAAGCCATCAACAACTTTCAGTTGCTCGATAAGAAGAAGCCTTTTTCTTAATATAATACAATATAATGCGGCTTATGATTGTAAAACGAAGTTTGACAAATTTTACCGCAAATGTTTCTTTTGAACGAAAAATCGTAATTTATTTTAAGGAGAAATAACGATTATTTCTATCCTTAGGGATGAAGTATGAAAGGATGAATTATGAAGAGTAATGATAAACGGAAAAATAAAAGTGTCCAGGGATGGGAGATATATTTAGTTAATTCTTTATTTAGTTAATCCACGTGCTTCTGAAACGTACAAAA